GGCTCGGCCGCCAGGCTCGGCTACCACAAGAAGGTGAGGGGAGCGTGAGGGGGCACGAAGGCAAAGGGGATAGCGTCGAGGATCGCCCTGAGTAAAGGTGTTAGCGCCTAGATGCAGATGGTGAAGGGCGTTGAGGGGAAGAGTGTGTAACTTTCTCCCAACGGGAAGCGCTGAGCTCTGGTCTTGTGAGCAGTGACAGGGCGCAGGGAAGAGCTGGAGCTGTGTAAGGGGAGGGTTACATGGATATCAGGAGGTTCTTCCCGCAGAGGTGTTTGGGCACTGAACAGCTCCCGGGACAGTGGGCACAGTCCCAAGGCTGACAGAGCTCAGGGAGCGTTTGGACAACACTCTGAGGCACAGGGTGCATTGTTGGGGTGTCCTGGGCAGGAGTTGGATTTGATCCTTGTGGGTCCTTCCAGCGCAGGATGTTGTGTGATCCTGTGACACAGAGACAGGGGGAGGGACAAGGGACAGGGGGAGGGACACAGGGACAGAGGGAGGGACACAGGATCAGAGGGAGGGATACAGGGACAGGTGGAGGGACGAGGGACAGGGGGAGGAGACACAGAGGGTGCCCCTTGCTGACGCTGTGCCCTGGCAGGTGGTGGATCACTACGAGAACCCACGCAATGTTGGCTCCCTCGACCGCAATGCCAAGAACGTGGGCACAGGGCTGTGATGGAAGCCCCGGCCTGCGGCGACGTCATGAAGCTCCAGGTGACCTTGGGGACATGCTGGCACTAGAGAGGGGGTGGCACACCTGCCTGGTGCCTCTCAGGGCACAGCACAGCCTGCTCTGGCTCTCCCCTGTGGGTCTGTCCTGCTCCCCAGGGGCACTGAGGAGGTTTGGGGGGAATGGAAGGGGAGCAGGGGGGCATGGAGTGGGTTCAGGGGGAATGTGAGGGGTTCAGGGGGCCTGGGGTGGGTTCAGAGGGCTCTGGCTGAGCTGAGGTGTCCCCTCTGCAGGTGGAAGTGGATGAGAATGGGAGGATCGTGGATGCTCGATTCAAGACCTTCGGCTGTGGCTCAGCCATCGCGTCCAGCTCTCTGGCCACAGAGTGGGTCAAGGGGAAAACGGTAAGGGAAGACCTGGAGAAGCTTCAGGGCTTCACTGCTGGGTGTGTGCTCTGTTGGGATCATGTAGGAAGTGGTGATAGGGAGTTTCACACTGCTTGTTGCTTTGGCTTGGGAGGCAGTGACCGTCAGGGCCTGATTTTTAGGGCAGTAGTTGCCTGGTTCGACAACTATCAGAGAATCATAGTATGTGAAGGGGTTGGAATGGATCTTAGAGATCATCCAACCCCAACCCCTGCCCTGGGCAGGGCCCCCCCCCACCAGAGCAGGTTTCTCAAGTCTTTTTCCAAGCTGGAATGAAACACTGCCAGGGCTGGGGCAGCCACAGCCTCCCTGGGCAACCTGGGACAGTGTCTCACCACCCTCACAGGGAAAACTTCTGCCTAAGATCTAGCCTAAATTTCCCCTCCTTCAATTTCTCCCTATTGCTCCTTGTCCTCTCACTGCAGTTCCTAACAAGGAATCATCATCAAAGAATCATTAGGGCTGGAAAAACCCTCTAAGAACATTAAGTCCAACCCTCAACACAGCACTGACAGATCCACCACTAACCATGTCCCCAAGTGCCACATCCACACGTGTTTTGGATACTTCCAGGGGTGCTGATTCCACCAGGAAAGTACTTTGTGTCCTATGCACAAGCAAAACTAGGCTGAATGCAGGTTCTGGAGGAAAGTTTAGTTATGGAGAGTCCTTGTGATCATTTAGATCTGTTTTCTGCCAGCAGCTTCTGAGCTGTGCTAGGTCAGCACACCTGAGTCTGTGACACTGATGTGTGAATCTGACAGTGCTCAGATTCATTGATTCCCACATCCTTTAGTTCCCTGGGCAGCTGAGATGTTCTTCCCTGTGAATTCTGTTGGCTCTGCAGCTTTAAACCCCCTTAGCAGACCCTTGTGCTTGGCAGGCCCTGTGACCTCATTCCTCCTGTGCTGCAGGTTGATGAAGCTCTGAAGATCAAGAACACAGACATTGCCAAGGAACTCTGCCTTCCTCCAGTCAAACTGCACTGCTCCAGTAAGTACAGCCTTGGAATGGCACAGCTGCTGCTGTTTGCCAGGGATTCTGCACAGGGATGACCTCCAGAGGAGCTTGGTGTTTGGGTTTTGAGGTTAATGCTCAGAGTTTTTAGATCTCTTCAGTGCTTTGGAGTCTGGGGCTCCTCAGGGTGATAGGGAATGGTCAGACTGGGAGTTGTACTGTCTGAAAGGAGATTCTGGATGTGTGTTCTGTGGGTTCCATGTTTTGTGGATTCAGTTGGGGATGGAGTCAGTGTTAACTCAGTATTGTAGTGGTTCAAAATTCAGTGTTCTGTGGATCTAATGTTATGTGGGTTCAGTATTCTGTGGATTCAATATGCTATGGATTCAACTGGATATGGATCCAATATGATATGGATTCAGTATTCCATGAATTCAGTATTTTATGGATCCAATATATGAATCCAATATTCTATGGATCCAATGTATGAATCCAATATTTTATGGATCCAGTATTGCATGAATTCAGTATTTTATGGATTCAGTGTATGAATCCAATTGTCTATGGATCCAGTATTCCATTAATCTAATATTTTTGATCCATTATATAGATCCAATATTTTATGGATCCAGTATTCCATGAATCCAGTATTTTGTGGATCCAATGTTTTATAGATCCAGTATATGAATCCAATATTTTATGGATCCAATGTTATGTTTTATAAGTATATGAATCCAGTATTTTATGGATCCAGTATATGAATTCAATATTATATGGGCCAGTATTCTATGGATCCAATATTACATTAATTCAGTATTCTATGGATCAGTATTTTATGGATCCAGTAATATACTGCTGCAGTATTTTATTGATCCAATATTCCATGGAACCAATAGTCTAGGAATTCAATATTATATGGATCCAATATATGAATTCAGTAGTACATGGATCCATTATTTTATGGATCCAATATTCTATGGACCCACTAATACACTACTTCAGTATTTTACGAGTTCAGTAGTGTATGGATCCAATATTCTGTGGATCCAATGTTCTGTGGCTCCAGTATTCCCATTCTCCTGCACTCCAGTGTGTGCTGCCTCCTGCTCTGGTCCTTGCCCACCCCTTGCCCCAGACCCTTCCCTGTCCTGACCCTCTGCTGTGGTTCCAGTGCTGGCTGAAGATGCCATCCGAGCTGCCCTGGCTGACTACAAACTGAAGCAGGATCCCAGCAAGGAGTCAGAGCCCAAAGCCACCGATGCCTGAACGGACTGCAGAGCTTCTCCTCGTTCCTCCTCACTCACTTTGCAGTGCAATTACTGAGCTCTTCGTAGGATCCTGTGCACTACTCAAGCTGTAAGATACGCACAAGTCACGCACAAGTGTCACTGGTGGTGTCCTCACTCCGCAGTGCTCCCCTGGGAAGGGATGTCCTGGCCCCACTGGAATGCCCTCGCCGGAGAGAAACCCCCCCTGCCTGGGACTGGAAGGGCTGCACTTTGTTTTGGGGGAAGATGTCTAGTTTTGCCTAATATTGGAGAGAATTTAGTGGGAAACGTTGCCTTGGTGGTTGTGTGTGCGTGTGGCGCCGTGGGAGGCACAGCCACAAGACAGCTGTGCCTGGCTCAGGGTTGGTTTCACAATCCAGGGGCAAATTCCTGCTCCTGGAGGGCTGGGAAGCCTCAGCAGGTACCAAAAAAAGGGCAGATAGTGGCCAGGAAACACAGACCTGGTGGCTTCTGCTCCTGTGCTGTCACCTCTAGGGGATTTTGAAGCTCCTGTTAGAGGAGCAATGGGAATTTCGGGGTGTTTTTTCTTAGAATTCCACCTTTGCCAGGTGCTCTGTTCCAGGGCTAGTGGAATGTGCCCCTGCCCATGGGAGAGGGGTGGAATGGGACAAACTTTACTTCCAACCCAAACCATTCCAGGATTATACAAACTACACTCTCAGACTGGACCAACAGCAGAGCTAAGGGGGAGCTCCCAGGATCCTTCTTTTCATGGGAATTACTTGCAAAACAAGCAGAAAACACACTGGGAAACTTCACCTCTTTAGCTTTTCAGCCCACAGGACACCTCACTTCCCTTTTTTCATACCAAGGACGTTATGTAAACACATCTGAAAAAGAATCAGCTCATGCTGACCTACTTGGGCACAGTATTGTTCATTTTTATCCCAGAAGCCACAGGTCCCTCGGGGTGTCTCATCTCCTGCATGAGGAACTCATCTCCCTCCCAGGGAACAATCCTGATGTTTCCCAGTTACAGATACCAGGGAAACTTCAGACACTCACAGCTGCTTTGGGGCAGAGTCAGCTCTTCACACTGTACACTCTTCCAAAGGGAATGTTGTCCTGAGGGAGGGACACGTGGGACAAAACAGGGGTACAAGGACACGGAGTGGGATGTGCTGCTCTTGGAGCAGAGCAGCCTCTCTCACCTTCCAGGCTTACCTGTTGTCCCTGCTGGAGCAGCTGCATCCTGGTGCTGAGGCACATGGTCCCCCCAACACCCCTGGGCCCTCCCACCCTCAGCTGTGGGTGCAAGATAAAGGTTTCCTGGAAGCAGCATGTGACGTGCAGATCTGGGCAGCGATACGCACACTCCCTGGGGTCCCACTGCTGGGCTCCAGCCCTGGAGCCCAATCCTGCAGTGTCCCTGCCCCAGCACAGAGCAGGGAGGGCCCTGAAGGAGCAGAGGGACCAGGGACTGTCCCCTGGGCACCCACAGCTGCAGAGACACGCGGGAGAGGATGTCTGCGAGGAAATGTTTATTTCTAGCTGAAGGGGTTAAAGGAGTGAGGCAAAGTTCAGCTGAGCTCTGGGTGCCCTCAGGGGGAAAGGAAAGGATGGGTCATTGTCCCCAAATCCTTGGCCCTAAAGCTTCATCCCTCCTCCCCTTGGGTGGCCAAGGACAGCTTGTCCATGTGGCCTGGTGGGCAAAGCCAAACCATGGTCACCTCTTGGCCCAGCCCTGCTCCCATTCCTCTTCCCAGAGGGACACAGCTCCATCCAGGCACCCAGCACGGAGCAGGAGGATGCTGACTACAGGAACACTTGGGGGGAAGTTGGTGGCACAGGGTGGGCAGAGCTGGAGCTGGGGGGATGCACCCAGTGCCCAGGGAGCAGGAGCTGGTGGCACTGAGAACCACCAGCTGCCAAAAATCCTCACCACAGCCTCCTGCTGGCACAAGGGTGGAGGGTTGGGGGGTGGGTGGGGACC